AAACAAAAGGTAGACAGAAGAAACGAACAAACGAAAGGTAGACAGAAGAAACGAACAAACGAAGGGTAGACAGAAGAAACGAACAAACGAAGAGTAGACAGAAGAAACGAACGAACGAAAGGTAGACAGAAGAAACAAACAGATAGAACGACAGCGACAGAATGACAGACAGATTTAAAAAAAATGACATAAACAGATGGATAGAATGAATGACTCACCGAATGAATGAATGGCTGAATAAACAACAGGCCTAGACTTAATTATAGACCTAATGATCCGATCTGAAAAACAAATCACATTTTCTTGTGCAGTGAGAACAAAGACTATGTGTCTTTTTTGCTCCTTTCCTGACGCTGAGAGAAAACACACACACACACACACTCCACAGCGAGAGAACAACCATTTCTTTATCATCTGCAGGTGGGTTCACCCCAGTGCATGATGGGATGCTGGAGGTGATGAGTCACTCAAATGGTGTATGTACATGTTCGGGAATTCACATCCAGACTGTATTCAGTGTGTGTGTGTGTGTGTGTGTGTGTTACTGTAAAGAGGGGAATTTTGGTCTGTGGTTCAGAGCATGTGCAGGCCTGCTGGTCCCACACATGCTCTTCTGCCCCCCCCCTGCTTTACAGGCAACACAAACAACTGTACTGACTGCAAAGTGGACAATGAAAATTGTGAAAACTAAAGAGACGAATCCATGTGTGTGTGTTACTGTAAAGAGGGGAATTTTGGTCTGTGGTTCAGAGCATGTGCAGGCCTGCTGGTCCCACACATGCTCTTCTGCCCCCCCCTGCTTTACAGGCAAGACAAACAACTGTACTGACTGCAAAGTGGACAATGAAAATTGTGAAAACTAAAGAGACGAATCCGTTCAAATAAATAGAAATAATTATTTCCAACAGTTCTCTCTTACTGAAAGCTAAAAACAATATGAAATATTGTCTTCTTGAAGACTGAAGTCTTGTGCAAATAGAAACATCTCACCTGAGGTGTCTGCATTAAGTGTGAGAGAAAGAGAAGAAAGGAGAGTGAATGAAACATCATAATGACTCTCTCCCTCTCTCTCTGTGTGTGTGTGTGTGTGTGTGTGTGTGGAGGTACATGAATGCTGCTCACACACTTGGCCGAGGCCTGCGGGACGCTCAGGGCGCGCATACACTCACCTTTAAAATTGTCACACAGTGTTTGTGATGCTTTAAGTATGTGTTTATGAGAACAGGAGTGTGTTTGTCCGTGTCATGACTGATACGGTGCTGGTACAGCGATCCATGACACAGAGAGAGAGAGAGAGAGAGAGAGAGAGACGGAGGAATACATGAGTGCATTCCTCTCTCTTTGATGAGAACGGGGCGGGTGCAGCTCTGGACGTGACAGCAAAGCTCAATTATACATGGAGACAGACACAAAAACAGCCAGAAGAGCATCGAGAACTCGGTCTCTCATAGATAGATAGATATTCAGATAGACAGACGTTCAGATAAAACGATAGACAGATAGATAGAACAAACGATAGAACTAATGATAGAGAGAGCGATAGATAGACAGAACAGCAGATAAAAATAGAGTAATATAACGAACGATAGGACTAACAATAGATGGATAACAACAGTGACAGAATGACAGAATGAACAATAGATAGACAGAATGACAGACCGATGGAATGCTAGATAAAATTAATGATAGAAGATAGAATGATAGACAGATGGAACAAACAATAACAAAAGACAGAACTAATGATAGAACGAGCGATAGAACTAACAGATAGATAGATAGATAGACAGATAGATAGATAGATAGATAGATAGATAGATAGATAGATAGATAGATAGATAGATAGATAGATAGATAGATAGATAGTATTAATTACAGAATGAACGACAGAACCAACGATAGAGTGATAGAATGAATGATAGAATGAACAAGAGAAGCAATGATAGATAGAACGATAGATAGATCCTGCATCAGCAGCGGTTGTCATGACGCTCAGCACTTCTGTTTCTCCTCGGCTGAGCGTGAGAGTCAATTAAAGTGTAGAATATGGTTCCTTTAAACTGGTTTTTGGGCCTAATTAGGCCAGAATAGACGTTTAGTGCTTATTGTGTCGACAGATTTCTTGATTATAATGGGAGCGATTTAGTGATTTTCAACACATCACAGCATGACGCTCTAAAGGTTATTTACAGTTTCCAAATAACATTGCAACTTAATTATATAGAATAATAATATAAACACATTGACTCTTTACAACAGCTTCAATTATGTCAGTATCTTTTTGGTTATACGTTGTGAGAATCACTAAACTGAGTCTTTTGTTTTAAAGTATTCTGAAGCTGTTTATCTCACAATTCTGACTTTTTCTCACGGTTGTGAGATATAAACGCTCAGAACTCAGAAATGTGAGAGAAAAAAGATAGAATTGCATGAAACAATGTCTAAATTGTGAGATAGAAAGTTACTATTACTTTTCTTGTTTTTTTAATTCCGTGGCAAAAATAAGTTTTTTACACTGACAGACTTACTATTTATTTATTAAGAATCATCTGATCTTATGGTTCATCATGTTAAATACATTTTAAAAATGTATTTTATTTAAAAATAAATAAACATTTATAACTAAATTTAAAAAAAAAAAATATAACATTTTTAAATATTTTTACATTTAAATTGTAATTTTGAAATTGAAATGAAGTCATAAAATCAAGTCAAAAATTATGTCATGGTTATGTAATGTGCAAAACATGCTGGGGTTGAACGTCATCCAAAAAATAGCTAGATCATGATATATACCATTATCATAAAAATGAAGATTTTGGTCATACTATACCCCCGCACCTCGACTCATTTCACAAAAATAAGTTAAAGAAAACTTCTCTCGCTGAACTGGTATTTTTCTCGAACCTCTGAAGAAACACATGGTTTATGTTCCATCTCCTCCGCTCTTAAAACATTACAGCGGCTCATGATTGCGCTGAAGTACTTAAGCTCAACCACAGCAGCTTATTCATCACAGATAAACCTAACATCCACAAACACACTCGAACGTCACGCTAAAAAGCTCCTGTGAACTTCAAGAACCCATTATACCCTTAAAAGAGGTTTCCAGTTCCTCCCAGAATGCATCCGGTTTACCGGCCCGCTTTCTTTCGCCAAACAATACGTGTACAGCGAATGGCTAGCATTACGTGTAAATTATCTGCACTGGCTGTAAAGCGTGAGGAAACAGTATCTGTGCGGAGGGGAAGAGAGAATGAAAGAGAGAAAACTGAACAGCAGTTGTGCTCTACAGCACTGCCGTGATTTCTCTCTCTCTCGCTTACAGAGGAAACAGGAGAACTGAGGACACGTCAGGTGACGGAGCTGCCCTGCGGCACGCACACACACACGCGCGCGCACACACACACACACACGCGCACGCGCGCACACACACTCACTCACTCACACATACACTCACACACACACACACACACGCGCGCACACTCACGCACACACTCACACACACACTCTCACACACACAGGTTTACATTTGTGAAAAGTGGGGACTCTCCATAGGTGTAATGGTTTTTCTACTGTACAGACCGTATATTCTATTGCCCTACACCAACCCTACCCCTAAACCTACCCCTCACAGGAGACTTTGTGCTATTTCAGATTTTCAATACACTCCATTCTGTGTGATTTATAAGCGTTTTGAAAAGTGGGGACATGGGGTAATGTCCTGAAAAGTCACCTTCTCCTTGTAATACCTATGTTATACATTTGTCGTTATACAAATTTATGTCCTCATTTGTCACAAAAACTCGCACACACACACACACACACACACACAGCGCTCCCATGAACAGAAACACTGATCAGGACAAATGTGACACGCTCAAACACAAATAAACACGCGCTATTCTACAAGACACCATTTCCAGGAGTGAGCCTATACATGCAGCACATGATCTTCACCATACGGCGAATTAAACGATATCACAAACCACATAAAAACTCCCATTTTTAGATGCATAATTGTCATTAAATGCATAATTCTCTTATTTTAGATGCATATTTATAAAACAAAAAGCACAATTCTGTAATTTCAGATGCATAATTGTCATTAAATGCACAATTTTCCCATTTTAAATGCATAAATCTAATTCTTGTGCATCTTAAATGGATGAATTGTGCATTTAATGAGAATTATGCATCTAAAATTGGAGAATTGTGCATTTAATTAGAATTATACTGCAATAAGATTAGAATATTTCATCTCACTAAATGCACAATTCTGTCATTTTAGATGCATAATTCTCATTAAATGCACAATTTTCCCATTTAAATTCTTGTGCATCTAAAATTGGAGAATTGCGAATTTTATTAGAATTAGCATTAAATTAGATAAGAATCTTCCATCTCATTAAATGCACAGTTCTCTCATTTTAGATGCATAATTCTAAATAAATGCACAAGTCTCCCATTTTAGATGAATATTTCTAATTCCTGATTGTGCAGTTGATTACAATTAGATTTGAATCTCCCATTTAAGATGCAAAATTCTCATTAAATGCACAATTTTCCATATTTTAGACACATAATTCGCATTAAGTGCACAAGACTCCCATTTTAGACGCATAATTCTCTTTAAATTTACAATTCTCTCATTTTAGATGCATTATTTTCATTAAATGGACAATTCTCCCATTTTAGATACACAATTCTCATAAAGACTGCACAATTTTCCCTTTTATAATTAAATACATCATTTTATTTTGGAAATATGTTCATGAAAATTATTCATGCTGAACCAAAAGACCAAATGGACCTCTGTTGATAGCAAAGACACAAAATAACATGCTTTAGACATGCAAAACACAACAGCGCATCAGCAGAGGTCCATTTGTTCTTTCAACATATTTCTAAGTAGAATCACAAATTGAAATAATTATGCATTATGCATTTAATTAGTGTGTGTGTGTGTGTGTGTGTGTGTGTGTGTGTGTGTGGATACTCACCGCAGGAGCAGCAGGTGAAGCAGTTCGTATGATACAGGTTCCCCATCGCCTGACACGCTTGACTCGCTCCATACACACCTTTACCACACTTTACACAGATACCTGGAAGAGGACAGACACACAGACATCAACATATTTTCCTTACACCTTGAATACATGTGAATGCACACATGTATCCTAATCAAAAACAAAGTAGTTTTTAAACAAATTCAGGTTTGTGTTTTTTTCAATTACTCCACCACATGGCATTTTACTTACCTTGGCATTAAAAAGATCTGATATTTAATACAGAAATTAACATTGCACTCATCATGGTGTATTTAAACTGTTCAGTGTATGAATTGCATTATGAACATATTTTTTTTCAATTACTCCACCACATGGCATTTTACTTACCTTGGCATTACAAAGATCTGATATTTAATACAGAAATTAACATTGCACTCATCATGGTGTATTTAAACTGTTCAGTGTATGAATTGCATTATGAACATATTTTTGAACGAATTAATGGATAGGATAAAAAAAATAAAATCACACCAAATCAATCAATAAATAAATATAAAATAAAGCCAATTAATTTTAGCCCACACAAACATAAAACTATTAAAGATGGTCCATAACATATCTTATAAAAAACATTTTTTGATGATTGTTTATTATTGTTTTATTAGCTATGTTCAGCACTTTGGGTTTACTGTGTAGTTTAAAAAAAGTAAATAATAATAAATAAAATAAAATAATAAAAATGTAAGTGATTAAATAAATAGTATAGTATAGTATAAATTTATTTAATGCCATGTCAGCATCAAAGGCTATTTTCACGGCAAAAAATTTTTTAAAAATACAAGTACAACAAATACAATAAAAACCAGCAAACAAACGTTATATCACACAAGATTTTTTACATTAACGTGATAAAAATTCTAAAACTTTTCCTGGCAAAATTTGACTAAACTCTTTATGTGAGTTCACTTCATAAATGAGTTTTCTCTGTACATTAAAAGCTGGACAGTCCAATAAAATATGTTTGATGAAATAAATAAATGAACTCTAGTTATCCGTCAAGCGCTCGGCATGATGGGAGAACGAGTCAGCAGCACTAAAGCCTGCGGTCTCACGCAGAAGATGGCCTTCGCTGGGGGCCGCATTCCTCTCCGCAGCCACGATCAACAGCTAGAGAGGTCACCGCACCGACAGGACACCACTTCACCCCTGAGACGACCGTGAACGACGACAAACATGACACATCGCACATCAACAACTATTCTGATACTCAATTCAGTGTTTCAGGAACTTCTGTCTTCAAATCTCAAAACGGATGTCATTCAGCCCATAACAATTTAAGAAAACCTCACTTAAAAGCTCAATTAACATAAAACCCATTTGTGTGTGTGATAACAGGCTCTAGAACAGAAGCACTCATCAGATAAGCTCTCAGTGACTTAATGGTTAACTCATCAAGATAATTATAGCATCATCGAGAGGGAATTTCATGTACCACAATCCGGCACTTCTGATCTAATCGTGTTTGTAAAAGTCCCGGCAGGGGCTCGCTTTATCTACATCGCTCACGGCTGAGAGGTGTGGCGTATAAACCTCCACGACTGCACAAATCAGCCACTAGACACCCCAAGAACTGGAGAGGTCAAATGTAGGGCTGCTCAAATATGGCAAAAATCATAATCACGAATATATTGGTCAATACTGAGATCATGATTATTTAACACTAATTACTAGTTGACTTTGGAAACATTATGCATTTATTGAACTTTTAAAACTTGTCTTTTTAACAGTGAATGCTCCTGAACTTCCCTGGACAACTGAGAACAAATATAAAATAAATGTAAAAAAAAATAAATACAAATAATATAATATAAATATTAAACAATAAAGAAGTAAACATAATAAAAATGAAAATATAAATAATAATAAACAATATAAATATAAAACAAACGATATAAAAAATATACAAAACAATATGAAAGTATAAATAATATAAATATAAAAATAATAAACAAAAATAAAACTATAAATAATTTAAATATAAAATATACATATAAAAAATAATACAAAAAATATATAAAATATAACCAATATAATATAAATATTAAACAATAAAAACATAAAAATAATAAATAATGTAAAAATAATAAACAAAAATAAAACTATAAATAATTTAAATCTAAAAAAATACATATAAAAATATACAAAATAAATATAAACAATATAAAATAATAAACAAAAATAAATGTAATATACAATCATACAAATATGATATATAATTTAAAAATAATAAGCTAAAAGAATATAACAAATAATATAATAATACATTAAAATAATATAACAAATAATATAAAAATAAATTCTATAAAAATAAGTAAGACCAATTTTGCTGTTGTTGTGCTTCGCTGTAAAAGAAAGGGTGTTCGGGATTTATAACACAAAACAAAACAAGAGCATCACTGTGGCACAACAATTATTTTCTTGATGATCTTGTTGCAAGTCAAAACAGTACGTGAATATAAAATGTGATTAGAAAGCCCTAGTAGCAAGTCAATATCAACAGTACTAGTCTTTCAACAGTTTCTTAGTGTCTTCCTGATCATTGTTTTTCCATTCAGTTAGTTCAGTAGGCAGTCTAATAGTCTACTCTATCAGCTGTAAACACGTGTTATCATTGTCCATCTTTACCACACTCGTGTTTTTATTAGCAGCATGGAACCAATAGAGTTGAACAGCAGTGTTTGGTTTTTCAATAGCTGGATAAAAGCTTTAATAATTACCTGATGAAACCTCCAGCAAAGCTACACAAGATGCGAAAATACTGAACTGTCATATAAAGGACTGCATTCTATAGAGCATTGCTTTTTGTTGTGAAATTGCGAAATTTCTATCATGAAGCAACCTTTAAAGGTCCCATATTGTCAAAACTGAAATTTCCTGGCTTTTTTCACGATAACTGAGGTCTAGGGGCTATGTAACTACCATATAAGTTTCAAAACAGTCAGTCCACAGTAAAATGCACACAGCCTGCATAAAGTAGCTGAGATTTTTCACAAACCGTTGTGACTTCCGTAAAATGTTGATGTCAGAACTACACAGTCACCGCCTTCAGTCCGAGCACCGCCCACTGTCCCGCTCTCCTTTAGCCAAACCCCCAGACAACATCGCGTCCACGCCATTGCTGAGCAACAACAACAACACGGAAACATGTGAAAAAGGTTAACTTTAACCACGAAACCAGATCGGCCGACCTGTAACGTTACACTCTCACTCAAAGGATGGACGATCTGACAGGACTGTTACTATGAGGTGATCACATCTAATGTGTAAAGTAAAGACAAACTCACCGCGTCTATCTAGTCATGATGAAGATGTGTATACATTTCAATTTCAGCAGGCAACTATTTTTACAGCTACATTATTGTTCCAGCCACAATTAATCACAACAATGTATATACAATTACAAATGATTATATATAAATCATCAGTTTGTTGTTTTACACACATGCACACACACATTATTTCATACACGACATAGTCGTGAGATGCAAGAAACATAGACATATGGCAAGAAATCTGTAGACGCTCCCATAACAACAAAAGACAATCCGTTATGAACCTTTTCTGATAAGGAGTGTGCCCTGCAAACGCGAGCATCTTTGACGATCGTTTCTGTCCAGTCCGCTCGTTTTATCGTGTTTAACCACAGCTGTCGTCGGTTTTTTGTCTGGCAGTGGCAGCAGATATGCGATCAAATTTCTAATTTGAGGCTGTATTACGTCGATTCTGGCACCCAACAACACAACAAGATGATATTTTAAGCTCCTTATGTAGCCGAATCTGTGCTGGTTTGAATGGGC